GAGATGTCTTGAAATATAACGCCAGCTTACCACAAATGTTTAGCGTGTACAACTTACTAAAAAGATAAATGCCCTGCATTCTGTACTTCTAGAATAAGTTTTGATCAAAATTTATATCGACTGTTTTTTTTTGAGATCGTCCAATAATGGGTAAAATATGACTTCTTGCTGATGTATAGACTAGTTGCCAACCGATCCTTCATCGATTTCTGAAGAAGTTTGAGCTGCGGGGCGGGCTGGGAGTTGATACAGGGGGGTAAGTGAGGGCGCTGATTATGAATAAAGATTTACTTTGTCGATTTTGTCGTTTTCTGGAAAATCTCGAGCTACAAGGTTGGGAGTTGGTACAGGGGGGTAAATGAGGATGCTGACTAAAACCGGAATCTATTTTATCGATTTCAGCGATCTTTGGAAAATTCTGAGCTAGAAGCTGGTATAGGGGATACAAGGGTGGTGATTATGAATGGATCGTCTTTAGCCAGATATGTCGGCAAGTTTGAGATATGGTTGCTCTAGTTATTCGATGAATCATTCGAATATCTATTCGAAATTCGACTTCCAATGTTCGAATATATTCGATATTCATTCATTCGATATTTTTGATTTTCCGAATTTATTCGGAATTCATTCATTCGAGATTTGAATCATGAATTTATTCGATATTCGTTTATTCGAAATTTTTTATTTTCGAATTTATTCGATATTCGTTTATTCGAAATTTTTTATTTTCGAATTTATTCGATATTCGTTTATTCGAAATTTTTTATTTTCGAATTTATTCGATATTCGTTTATTCGAAATTTTTTATTTTCGAATTTATTCGATATTCGTTTATTCGAAATTTTTCGTTTTCGAATTATTCGATATTCATTCATTCGATGAAAAATCTTCGAATTATACTTGGAAGTAACATGAGAACGCGCTATCAATTTTCTCAAGTCTACGTCAGTCGAAATCATTTCGGTAATCTTTATTGTAAAGTACGTTGATAATGAATAATTGATAGACATCGTCAGTATTTAGTTGAAGAATTCATCACAAGTATTTATCTTATAATGCAGTGAAGACATGCTTGCATCCAATAACTGGTGATTATTTTCGGCGTTCTGAAAATTCATTAATTAGTTTTGGATTGCAGTGTTAGCGAGCAAGCAATCTTCAGTAAAAGGGCCTCCACTTACCATGCGATTCTCTCTTGCCTAATTTTTTTCTTTGGCGCTTGGCCTTTGGCTGTGGTTTAGTGGTTGAACTCTCAGAACTCCTAGTTTTGCTCATTTTCTTTCACACGCAAAGCCATTCATCAACTCGTGCAGTCGTCGAAGCTACCCTTCATAATGTCTTAGTTCCAATCCCAATTAAGGAGGTGCATAGCATAAGGAAAAGGAAGAAATTTATGAAAATGTCGATGAGTTGTGCAAAGAAAGTCTCGAAATACGTCGTGACGGCATCTACACTTGATACTTGAGTGACCATCATCTTTGAGGTAGGCATCGTTCAAACAATTCAGGCTTTATGTGAGCAGATTGTTTTTTTATGCAGTGCAATAACATTTTGAACTAATGTAGATTACGTTCACAAAAAATCTGGGTAAATATAACAGCTGGTACTCTTATATACATCACAGCACTGTTACCTACCTTGAGATAATAGAGGTTGGCAGGCTCTTACAGTCCAAAATGTGCAGGTAATGTTCACATATTCGCTCCCCTTATCCTCAAATACACCAGAATTGGAGGACATAAACTTTCTTTGCGTTTGCCTTCTCGTGTGTAAGAAGTTTCAATGGTGTGTTTTTCTGTGTTTTTACTTCGAACAACACCGACGCTGTTCTTTTATAGTCTTTTCATTCAATTAGCTAATCTGCGTCTCAGCGATGTCGGCAATCATAGAGGACTTGCCATTACGCAGTGCTTGAAAAGCGATCGGGAAAAGGCCGAATGTTTACGAGCATCGGAGCCCGACACAAATGCATGTATCGGCCTTGCCAAATTCATGTTTCACAAACATATTCGGACACTTTTATCACCTTTCGTAATCTGAATCGCCACAAAAAACCCGAGGCAAAAAACTTTGCGCAGCGCACCTGGGCGGCTAACAACCAAGGACACTGTTTGGTTGATATAAGAGTCACAAAGAAAAATTGACAAAGATATGTGCTCAGGGGATTTTTAGACGCTTGGAGGTTCTTACAGCGATCTCCAATTTTTTTTACAAACCGGGGTAAGAGGGTTGTGCTTCTTGTAAACTTTTTTTTTCAAATAAACGGGTTACTCGGGTTCATCCAACGCGAATTCTAGGGAAGAAGAATTGGCTTTTTTAGGAGCAAACTCACTGCACTTATCAGTGGAAATGGAAATGGTAGGGATAAGAGGATTATAAGTGAAAAATCATAGTTTCGGTGAACTCTACCCACTGGCGTTCGACAGAAACTTTCAATTTAAAGAACGTATCTCAAACGACAATTTATTAGAAAGCGCACACGTGTGAGGTTTGGGTTTGCGCTAATCGTATGCAAATGTTGAGGGCTGTCCAGGGGCTCTGGGAGGTCGTTCTGCGTTCGTTTTTTGCACTCTCCGCGATTCATTTATTGCGCACTGCACAGGCGTTCGCCCAAAGACACCCTTCAGACAGACACACACATGCTTTTACTCACGGCTAGAATGGCAAAGTCGCAATCCGGGTGGTCTTTCTGATTTTTTTTTGCAACTGCTGTTTTTAATGTTATAGGTATCGAGATTTTCGCGCATAATAGGTGTCCGCTGAGGCAGAGTGTACGATCACAAAACTCGACTATTTGGCAACCACGATTTAGCTTGTAAATTCCTCGATGTTTTAATGCACCTTTTTTTACTGACTGCTGCCTACTCCAGTGGAACGCATCTCTCGTTCTTTACTTTTATGCATCCTTAAAGAAACCAAAGTTGTGCTAGATGCATTCATTTTGTTTTATATTCCATTAGCTTGAGAATTCTAAGAAATTGTGTCATCTCTTTAAACCGTTGCTTCTCACAAGGAGTAAAGATCATCTTAAAATGTTTTTGTCTCTCACAACGGTCCTAAGAACCAACCTGTCTGAAATGAAACTGTCCGTGTCTTGCTCTCACCTCAAGCTTTGAGAAGGTTCATGTAATTATTACCCATCTTGTTTTGCTCATTTTTCAGTCAGGTTTTGGAGCTGCCGAGGTCTGATGTGTTGTCCTCATATAGATCATATCACTTTGGTAATTTTTTCGAAACTCGCGATCTTTAGTCAATTTTTTTATTCTTCCTGCAGTCCAGGAAACCTTAATTGTGTTTGTCTCTCTGTTTTCATTGAACGTCAAGAAAAAAAGAGAAGTTTGGCGCGATATCTTGAGGTTCATACGACAGAAACTGATTGATGCAGGCGGCGCTGTGGTTGAATTTGCCGAAGCTTGCTGAATTTATGGTGAATTTGAGAATTCGTTTGTAACAATGAATCGAGTAAACTTGGAAAACTCCAAATTTTCTATGGGTCATTCTAATTTCAAAGAACTGATTCAAAATTACATTGCATGCACGTTCGTTCCATCAAAGAGAGTATTTTAAGCGCAAATTGTCTACTTTATGTATGTGAAATTACATTATTCAAATGTCAGGGCTCGGCACGAGGTAGCTGGTTGAAAATGCAAAAACAAGAATCCCTTTGACTTTTGCGAATTTTTTACGAAGTCCTTTTTGACCCCAGACCATAATCCCCAAAAAAGTCTCTAAAAACGAAACCTCGACCAAAAAACGTCGCAAATTTTGTGTCGTTTCGGCCACAAAAACGAAACCCCCTTTGCTTTTTGTCCCAAAAACGATATCCAACTTGCTAATAAGCCTCCTGTGCTAAGCCCTAATGGCAGATCATTTGGATGTTCTCTACAGTTTCGAGGTGAGTGAGGTATGATTTATTTTTCAGAATCAGCTCAGCCGTTGCTGCAAATGTTTGATCTCCAAATAAAAAAGGCGTAAAGGTAAATGATTGACGAATGAAGATTTTACGGCTAAGCTTTTCAATAATCGAAGAGAAAGCTAATCAATTGACAAAATTTAAGAAATTACATTATTAGCTGCCTTGTTCTTTCAAATGCCTGGGTGATGAAAAATTGAATCGAACTCTTTCTTTCACCTATAGAAAGTGAGATTTCTTCACATCCAGAATTTTCCATACCTAAATTCTTTATTTTGATTTAGTTAGAAGCGTTTCATTTGATTAAATCAAAAGTTACATCAAGTAGCTGTTGACTATATTTTGAGGCATAAGATCTACATCTTCTTTCATGATTGGATAAGATCCATGAAAAGCGACTTCATTTTTTTTGTCCATCACAAATCAACGAGGTATTGGCTTCATATATTGCTGGATAATTATATACAGATGCAAGCTTTCTAGGTGAATATTTGGTTTATTACTGGATTGTGGTCAATAACAAAGAATTTTACTTATCTGGCTGTTTGAGAAAAAAGAAATGTTGGACCTGTCTGGCAGCTTTTACCTGGGAAAAATCAATCTTTTCGAAAAATCCCAACTCATTCAAAAACCTTGGCTTCGCGTTGAGCTCCGCTACATTTGGTGTCCATAAATGAATGGCAGAGCTTGCCAGCACAGGCTCGTTTTTTGTGGGTATTCGGCGCTTTCGCGCTGCGCTCCACTAATTTCGATTTCTATGCCCACTTCGCCCATGCGTTGTCCAATAGGCAATTGGAATGGGCGGGGTTACCGTAGTTGCATGGCGCGCATGGCCCCGCGGAACATGACTTGTGTGGGGCGCTGAGTTGTTTATTACGGCTTTTGCTCAGGTTTCACATTCTGGCCGTGTTCTCTCTCACATGGACGGAGACGAACAGAGAGACATTCTAGAGACATTCTAATTGCTCATTACCTACCAGTCTTTTTCCTGCTAGCGCTCATTTGCAAACGATGTTTCTCGCGGATCCACCGCTTTCATGGGCTCAGTCTTTCCTCAGCTATCCATCTATGCTTGAATTTATTTTAGATGAATATTGAAGACATCGTGCCAGAGCTGTTCGGCGAAAAACGAGTGTACTACTGCCAACGATGTCTTAACCATGGACTGCGAGAAAAGCGGAAAAATCACAAACAAAACTGCGCCTTCAGCACTTGCCAGTGCCCGGACTGTATCGTAAGTATTAAAGAGAACAATATTTGCCTTTGAATAGAAAATCACCTGAAAATTCAAAGTCGTGTTCTTTCATTTATTCGAGCCAAAAAACTCACCAAAATGGTATCTTCATCGTTTCTTTTCGCCCGAAATTCCCTGCATCTAAAAAGGGAGGATGAGTCGGAAAACCTCCATCCAAATTCTTTTTCTCTCGGTACTCTAGTTTCGTGATGAACTACTATGAAATGCTCTTATTTGTTCTTGACCTTTACTCAATTGAAAAATTAGCAATTTTTGGATTTTGAGCGCTTTCACAACCGTGATTCACCCATACAATGACTTTTCGAAAAGTCGATTCCGAAAGCGAAGGAAAATACCACCTGTTTTTGCACCGCTGAAAATCAATTTTGAATTCAAACAACCAATCTTGAGCCAAATAATAGCTCGTAAAAACCAGAAACTTCTCAGGCCACCCCTATGCTTTTTGATTTTTTTCAAGTACCAGAAACATAACAGTGCCTAACATGACTATCGTGGCTATGAAATCCATATTCTTGCAATGTCGAAGTTTCATCACACAATGGTGCTAACGACTAGCCCATTCTTTCCATGATTTATGATCCCTGGAAATCTATGGATGGATTCGGGGTCTTATTGGGAAACAGTAGGAGTTAGGAGGTATTGTGCAAAGGGCCACTGCAAATTCGATAAAAATTTGTTTTCAAATTTCTACGTTTCCTAAAAACTCTTTTGAAGAATTTTTACCCACCAGGATGTACTTGTGCAATTTTCAGCAAAAACTCGGATATCTTGAAAATTTCTAAATTAGCACAAAGCTATTCAGATGGTGGAGCGAAGGCGTGAATTAAATAGCCGACTTGTGCAAATAGAAGGAGAACCAGGAAATCAAAATTCAGCAGAATCGACATGCAGCGTCGAGGAAAACGGCGCGAAAACGAAAGGTATGCTGAGAAAATTTTTTTCTAATATTTTGTTCGTAACAAGGATGGAAGAAAGACGGGAAAAGGGCAGAAGTGATTTTTCGGTCGTTTGGCGAAAATGAAAAATTTCCATTTTTAAGCAAAAAACGATTCAGTAATCTTCTGTTTTTCTGAATGCTTCCAGGAGTTTTCAAAGGCAGTAATCTCCTCCATCTTTTACTGACATCATTTTTATTATGGTCGCCTAAAAAACAAGCACGGCTGAAATTCCAGAAATTTTTCAAATTTTTCTTCCTCTACCTGTTCGTAAAATTTGGCCCACCCATTGTGCTATGTACAATTTGAACGTTGCTAGAGTCTGTCAGCTGCTTGTCGTGTCGACAGCAGTGGCCTTAACAGAATATTTTTCCATGAAAAAACTGTTGGAAATGAATTGGCCGCGAGCAGCTGTGCTCATTTCGGGCAAACGACTTGCTAGTTTCTTTCAAAGACGATTAATACCGACACTTGTCATTGTAAAATGAACCGCCAACACCATTTGACAGGTGCCATGGTCGGGGATTCGACATGGCTTAAGTTAGCGTCAGTGTTATAGTGCGAGTGGTTAAGACTATTTGAGGACAATTTTGTTGAGGGGTTTCAGACTTGCAAAGTTTATATCCTGGTGTATCGAGTAAAACTTTAAAGCCCATCTTGTATTCAATTTATAGATCGATAGATTGATGAATCAGTTACGGAATTAAATGCCGGAAAAATTACTATTTTATTTGAAACAGGCAGATGGCTCGTAAACGTAGGACCTTATTTTAAACTACCAATATCGAATTGATACTCAAATCATGAGCATCTTGCAACCATTTCAACCGTATTTCATCAAGAAAGAACCTCGATTCAGCTAAATCGACGAAACATTTCTCCCAGATTTCTTCAACGTCGATCTTGAGATGATTTTCCAATGGAAATTTCATTAGGCAAAACTTTATCAGTGCCTCTTTATCGTCGTTTTCCTCTAAAGATAAAAGAAGACGTATGATACAGAGTCCTATTTTTCATCCACTGAAACACACTACATAGTGCTTCTCCCAATTAAAAGCACTATTCTTACGCAGGTAGCGTTATTGCTCTGCAATTTTTTGCTGTAACACATATGATCAAAAGAAATCCTACATTAGCAAGTACATTTACCAAATGGTGGATTTATGGGTGTCCATATACTGCCGAATAACCTGGGTAAGTTCGATCGCCAAATATCATGTCGTACTAACCAAGTAATCCTTTTCAACCTTTTTTTATCGCAGGGTCTTTCTTCAGTAATCTTTTCTACTTACCAATTATGAGTCCAAGACCCACTATTTGATGGGAAAATTCTAGGTTTAGCATGTCGCTCTATCTGCAGTAATGTTCCTTGATATATTATATTTGACCTAATTGCAAATCAGTATACATTCTATAGAATCACTAATGTGATAGACGAAACAACTCTATCCATATTTACACAGCAAATAAATTTTTATAAAAAGATAAATATACTAAAAGGACTTGACTGTTTTTAATTTGATCCTTTTGTTTATGTGACGTGCTCGATTTTGTATTCAGAGACATTGGTGCGAGCTAGGAAAGGGGTTCCATGGTAAAAACTCTTAAGAGGGATCCAGGAAAAAATTTCGATTTTCGGAGAGGGGCAGAATGATTATCTCAACCAGAAATGGAAGGTTGAGCCTAAATACGTAAGCGTAGCCTCGGATCGCATATAGGAAAACTATCTGAAGAAAATTTATTGACAAAACTCCAGTGTTTTATCCTTCAATAGTGTCCAAAAAGTAAATCTGGCTTATATATTAGGTTGGCAGACAATTCCCTTAGTTTTTCCCTTCAATGTTAGAAAAAGTCAGAAATGATACGATGGGACCATAAAACTTGCAGAACGTCGACCGAACTGTCAACGATGTGCCCAGCATAATGTCGTCAATCGTTTGAAAGGTCACAAGCGAACATGCCCCTTCAAGGAATGTTTCTGTCCAAAATGCCAGGTAAATAACCTTTTTTGCAAATAATATACCCCGACTATTGCTTCCCCTATGCCACCCAAATAGACCCAATTGGAAAGCCATACATTTGCCATAGCCAATGTGTTTTTCTACGTTCTGCAATCCACAACTGTCAAAATCATTTGTCATTGACACAACACGCGTCGATTGTGTAGAACGACGACGAGCAAGCGACGTGCGCGCGACATTTACCGTAGTCATATTTCATCGCAGGTGGTCGTGGAACGTCAGAAATTAATGGCTGATCAAATCAAGCTACGACGAAGACAGAAACGTGAGAAGAATATCTCTGCTGAACGAGCACGATCACCCAATGGTCGGGCGGGTAAGCTGGATTTTTCTCCAAACTTTCTCTTAGTCATGTACCGGTTCAGTTACCCACTTTGTGGTTAGCATCGATACTGTAGTTTTTTGCAAGATGGTAGTGTTTAGACTCATAAGGGTATTCAGGTGATCAAATGAGCTACTGCCTGAGCACAGCTTATATGATCCGTTCGTGACTGAGAAAATAAGGTCTAAACTCTCGCCCGCTACCGTACCCCTGCACCAATGAGAAGCTTCGGATACGGTAGTGGGCAAGAATTTAGTGTCGGGTTTCTTGGTAACGAATGAACCTCATGAGCTGCTAATAAGCTCAAAAGTCGTATTTAGCCGAAATTTGCCTGAAATGCACTCAACAAGCCATTGGCTACCAGCACCTCATGTCTATCCTCGATCCTTCCAACGTCTCCGAGACATACATCAACCTTTCCGCCGTTCTGCAAGCCTGTCCACATCGGGCGCCTCCTCCGAGCTTATCCGAATCGCCGACCACCCCATTATTGGCCAATCCTCTCTCGCCATTTATCATGAATCAGCAACCTTCAATACTGAATGAGGTCAGGGAAGAGCCGGATTGAGGCCATGTTGGATAGATATGTATTTTGAATTTGATTTTTGTTTGGTGAAATTTGAAATTGCCGGTTTGTGTCATATGAGCTTCTTGTTTCAACATAGTTTGTTATCATTGCTGTATTTGCTTTTTATGATGTGCTGTTCTGGTCGATCGCCCTGATTACGGTGCTAGTATACTTCTCCACAGGCCATTCTCGGTAGAAATGCCACAAATATCTTCTCTTCCCACCCCTTATTTTTCGTCGTCGTTCTTTGAAATCGTCTGTATCTTAAAGATACGCTAAAAATGACGCTAATCCCGGTATTCATTCAGACACTCATGATCTCTCCACATGAGCCATTCCATTCGAATAAATAACAGCGAACGCGAGTGTGCACATTCATTATACACAGTAATCGTGGAAACAAAGGCAGTCGGTGTCGAGGAAATAACATCCCGAAAAGGGAGGGGCCAGATATCGACAGATGGACGTGTAGAAAAAAACTCAACTATATTTCAGTGCAAGCCTGAGCTTCGTCGAAAGATCGAGCGCTGCGGAGAGACAGAGACTCGAGGAAAAAGTAAATTGGCCATGAAATCAACATAGCGTTTGGTGTGCGCGCTATGGGTGGTCACTTCATTCTCAGATGGGAATGCGGCAATGGCATCAAGCTCGATGCCAGGGGATACATTTTGCATGCGAAGGAGATATGACGGGGAGTTGATAGAGGCAACGAAATGGTGCCTGAATAATCAAATTAGGGTGAATGAGGTAGGCTCTTTAGCTACTTCTAAATCACGTGTGGCATTAGATAACTAGTAATTTTCAACGCTGTTTTGAGTTCAAAGGACCTATTTTTGCTCTGAAAATTTAGTTAACATGAGTTTTCAGATACATAAAAACAACTTACCATTAGCAAGCCCTTCTCTATCTAACCTTTTTTATATAACTACAGTTATAATTACGCCAACAGGATGTTTCTTTCCCCTAATAAATAATCCCAAAAATTTTATCACCAAAATTACTTTAGGAAGGCATAGCTTACTCTAAAATGTGTAAGGATGCTGATGCTTACTAAGTTATTAATGGTCTTCTGCAGTAGCATAAAACTTCGACCTAAAATAGGAAAGCTATAAGTACCCGTTCTTTTGTTAGAAACAGAAAACCTTTTCCAAATAGTAGAAACGGCCTTGAAGTTCACGCTTACCCATTGTTCTAACAATAGGTATTCTAGCACTACGGAGTGAGAATGCGATAATAGTCTTGTCTATCGAATTCATTCAGAATACAGAAACGACACAGCTATCGTTCGTGTTCGTGTAAGCAATTCAGTTCTGAAATTTCTGGGGGGGGGGGGGAGGGAGGGCAGATATGTCAATGACTATGGTGCGGCCTATTCCGTTGTGAGACTCCATGCTTAAGTTGGAAAACTGTTCCTACAAGCTACGAAGAAGAAAGAGCAATAATATCCAAATTCTCTCAATATCTTAGCCGAATTAATAACGAGGTGAGACAGTTGCATTTTCTTTGAAGGCACAAAAGTATATAAGGGAAGTCTACAAAAATATGTCTGTTATTGACTTTGTCAGCGTTCCACCTGGAAAGGCAAGACAAAAGCACTATTTTTATTCTCATGCCTATCATGACTCTGACTCTACTTTAGATATCAGGTGCAAGATGCGTGAAAACGCTAGGAGTCCCGCTTTCTGAAACTCCATCTTTCGCGTGCCCCCCCCCCCCCCCCCCCGTATGCATCAGGGAATCCCGCCGTATGTAAGTGAGAGTTCCGTCGTATGCAACACGAAGTCTAGATGTATGCAACAAGGAATCCGTCGTATGCATTGCATGCAACAAGGAGTCCCGTCGTATGCAATAAGGAGTCCCGTCGTATGCAATAAGGAGTCCCCCTATGCAACAAGGTAGTGAGCACCTGGTGTTCTGTTGTATGAAGGAGAGTCACTCGTACGCAGCAGGGTCTCGCCGCATTCAACGAGGAGTCCTGTTGCATGCAACAGGAACTGTCGTATGCAATGCAAAGAGGAGTCCTGTCGTATGCAGCACAAAATCCCGGTTGCATGCAAGGATTCCTGTTGTATACAATGCAACAAGGAGTCCTTTCGTATGCAACAAGCAGTCCCAATGTATGGAAAACGAGGTTTTGCCGTATGCAACAAGGGCAACAAGGGATTCCATCGTATGTGACAGAGTCCTGTCTTTTGCAACACAGGCTTTGTAGTACGCAGCACAATTTTATCTCATGCTCTGCAGACACGGCATATGCCGCAAGGAGTCCTGCACCTGCATCCGATGTCCTGTCGTATATAAGAGAGTCACGTCGTATGCAGGAAACCCTCCGCCCAACAAGGAGGCATGTTGTATGCAAAATGCATTCCTTGTATGCAACGACGAGTCATGGGGTGTGCAAAAGGGTGTCTTACATAAGCACTCGGGTCCTGCCCGTTGTGTGCAAGAAAGTCACATCGTATGCAACAGAGTCCTGTCGTTTGCAACACGAGGTCTGTAGTATGCAACACGATTTCCTATCTCATGCAGAGTCAAGGGTTATGAAACACCATCTCAAAGCACAGAGGGCTGCAAAGACCACGGGGTCTTATTCTAGTACGAATGGTTTAGCGCGGAACACGAGCATAAACTGCTAAAGAGTCTAGAGTAATCCTGGGCAAATTTAGAGGCTCACCATCCACCAAGTGCCGCTCTAGGAACGTAATTTGGGTTTTTTCAACTTTTTGAAAAAGGGAGCGCCAACCGAGATGCATGGTGATGTAAACGAAGGGCGAAGAAAGCAGAAAAATGGGCATATAGGTGAAGGAAGAAAGATCTTCAAACACAACTGAGCCAAGCTTTGAGCAGTCAGCACGACAACGAATAAAATGTTTATTTCATCTATCAGAACGAGTCCTAACAATCTTGATCATAATCAGCAAATTCTCGCTTCAATGGATAAGCAGTGTGTACAAACAAAGTTGAAAATAATGTCATCTTAGAATTTTTCCGGTGCACTTTCCACTACAAATGAATGGATAATTTCTTTCAAGTATGGCTGCTCTGGAGTCAGTTCGATGCTCGGAAAATGAGGCTGAACACGAAGCCATTGGTATATGCTTTGACAAATGATTTCCGGTTCAAAAACACTTACATAATTCAAAGCGGCGGTGTAAAACTGTGGTTCGATAGCCAAACCTTTGCCTGAGCCATACATTTCTTTGTTTTTTCCTCTGCAGTTCAAATGTTTGGAGCCATAAAGATGCAAGACTGGATAAGAAGTCGTTACTTGCATCCGAATGCCCGATACAGGAGAGTATAACCTAGAGTGATGATAATGAAGTCATCTGCTTTTCGAATAAAAACTTTCGGACGAGAAAAGTAGTCTATGCTTTTTGAGAATGTCAATGTCTCTAAACTTACGAGAGTAACCGCGTTGGAATCTTCTCAGTGTTCAGTATCAAATCATTGTCGATATCAATGTTTTTCTCGCCGTCGTACAATGTGTGAAGCGGTTTTTCCCCAGTGAAGTCGAATTTTGTGCCAACTACCGACGCGATCTCACCTAAACAGTGCTACCATAACTATCATAACCTTTTCTTAAATGCTCCAGAATCATACACATCGAGAAAGCAGCTAAAGTACTAGTAATAAACGTAGTTTTTTTTTCTGCCAGCAGTCAGCGGAAGCTAAATATGTCCACCAATGGCATACCCCCGCCCTTCCCAAAGCACGGATCGCAAAATTTTTTGGAAGCAGTCTATATTACAGAGCTGTGCAAGCGTTCAGTTTTTCGAGTTTTTCCACTTGTGAACGACCAAAAAAGTCGTTCAAACTTCAAGAACATGTTCTTAATGTCACAGTTTTGGGTTTAAAAACCCAAGAAAATTTCAAATAAAACTCATGAAACTTCTTGGAGGTTTCATTCCCTCCCCCTCTCCCTTCCCCCCCATAGGTGCGATAGGGGGAGCCGGGCCCTCTCCAGGTGAAGGGGGTCTCTGCTACTCCCATCCTCGTAGAGTGAAGGGGGTAAGTGAGCCCTGAGAGCAAAATGCCCCAACAAGTTACATACCAATCGAAAACTGAGGTCATATAGAATCGACATAGAACGTCGGCTTTTTTCTAGGTCTTTTGTGCCGCGAGATATGAGGGATTTTATGTACTTCATGTGTCAACTAATTTTGTGTCCTCACTTTCTGCTCTCCAAAAGAATGCTACGAGAAAGTCGACGGTCTACGTCTGCTAATGAAGACTTGCTCTGTAACGCAGATAGATAACCAGCAAATTAGGTCTTCGTTTGGCAGGAATTTGCTGTTGAAAATGGAACATTATTTCAGGTAAAATGCAGTGTATCTCTCGGTAAAGGGCGGCTAGAAAGAATTCGACGGTCTACGTCGAGTCCCCTTTTCCTGGGCTTTCGAATGGTATATAGACTGCTGAGCGAAAAAACTTGCCAGTTTTAAAAAATGGTGTGGAGGTATTTACTATTAGCTGGCTCCACCCAGCTCCCCCAATGTATTGGCTTTTATCGGTCACCAGAGCAAGTGCTTTTTAGAGCCGGGAAGCAAAAAAGCCCTAACATGCTTCACACCGTTCGAAAGCTGAGATTATGGAGAATCGATGTAGACCGTCTCTTTTTTCATAGCTTCTCTGTAGAGCGAGATACGAGCGATTTTATACGCCTACTCACCAGCTAATTTTGTGTAATTATTTTGTAATTTATTTTTGAAAGAAAGAACAAAGATTAAAAAAAAGAGACGGTCTACGTTTACTGGCAAGGTCTTGCTCTGTGATGCAGTTAGAAAATCAGGCACCTTTATCCACTCTTCACGCAGAAATTTCTCGACAAAAACACACATCTTTTTGGGTAAAATCCCGTGTAACTGTAAGTAGAGGGGAGCTAGAGAAAAAGAGACGGTCTACGTCGAATCCTTTTTTTGTGGGCTTTCTAATGGTATACAGGTTGTCGGGTGAAAAAACTTGTGGTTTCTCAAAAATGAGGTGGAGATATTCAATAGTAACTTGCTCCACCCCGCTCCGGCTTTCTATGGTTTGCCGGAGCAAGACTTTTTTGGACTGGGAAAGCTTTGTGCGCCAACACCTTATATACCATTTGATAGCTAAGAACGCGAGGAATCGACGTAGACCGTCTCTTTTTTCGTAGCTTCTCTGTGAAGCGAGATACGAGCAGTTTTATCTAGCTACAATATCAGCCAAATTTGGATAATTATATTTTCGAACCAAGAAGGTCTTTTTCGAACTTTTATATATGAATCGAAAGCATGAAAAACGAGTAATCTGACTGTTGTTTTGTTTGTTATTATTCTCTCTAGCGAAAAGAGGTATGGAATGACTTCTTGTCAGTAAACATGCATCCATCGCTAGTCGGTTCAGATTTTTCTACTCTTGCTCAACTCTTTTTTGCAAAGTATGTATTCATTGATACAATGTTAATTATTCAAAAAATCACCTTTTACTTTTTGATTACGTTTCGTTATCAACGCCCTTTGAGCGCGCAGAAGGTCTCAAGCATGCGTTTTTCAACGAAAGTTGTTGATTCGATACTCTCTTGCAGTCTTGATGTCTGAGGAGAAGAGCAGCTGGCGTTTCCTTTCCAAACAAAAGTTCCGTTGTAATAGCTGTTTGCCTTAATTAGTCTCAACCTCAGGTGAAAGGGGTCAGCCAGATGCCGGCCCTAAAGTGAAGGGGGTCAGAGAAATTCCTCCACCTATCGCATCTATGTTCCCCCCTCCCTGGGTCCAAAACTCACTGACGGTCTTGTCCATGGATGTTCACAAACGCATTTAAAAAAAGGTGAGAAGATGAGGGACAAGAGGAAGAGGGATGTGAGGATGGTATGTTAAAAATTACACCGACAAGACAATCAAGGAGATACAAGTGTTTTATTGCTTTTTTGTGGGATTTGACTAAAAGTGGAGTACCAGTGGGCTGGGTTAAAAGATGGTTGATTGCTAAGCCTCCATTTCGTAATAAATCTATATTTTTCCCTGCATTCGTAAGTTAAAAATTCTGAGTTTACGACAGACGAATAAGAAACGGTAAACAAAATTGAAACAATGTGAGTTACCTGTTGGGTAGTCATTAGCATCTGTCGGAAGGTATTTATCAGCATCAACGTGCAGAAGATGATCTCTTACAGATTTCTGCAAAGATCACCTTTGATTTAATGTTGGAAAAATATTTGGAGATTACCCACACTTCCATCAAGGTTCCAATAAATGTGGTTCGTAAGATTAAGGACTCCGGGACTGTGACAAGTAGCACCATGCTCGATAACCAGTTGGTTCCGGTCGTTGACTGTGTAAGTCACCTAAATAGAATTTGAGATAAAACTCCAGGGTCTTGAAAAATTAGAGAAGCTTACGTCGATATGCGCATCCCCAGGTAGACCATCTTGTTCTTCATCCGTCCTTATTCGGAATGTTACAGACGTCGGTGTTCGCCGTATCACTTCCCATTCTTTCTAGGATTACAAAATTGAAACTAACTCAACAACCGAAAGGGAAGAACATGTACCAAAGCCAGTCCTTGCGGTCCACTATGGAGACTGTGTGGTGGATTATTGATAGGAAGATTATATTCTTTCCCTCGAAATGTGAAGCGTCCATTTCCAATTCGGTTGCAGACCCTACCAACTGTCTTTCCAATGTATGCAGGGTCTTTCTTGTAACCTAAACCAAAGGTTCGATAAAATGGTGTTTTAAAACAAGTTTCTACAAGAATTTCAAATTGTGCAGGTTACTTTTGATTTTCATAAAAAGTCGAAAACCCTTGTAAAAAAATTCTGGAATTGTTAGAGACTGTACTAAAAAATACTCACTATCTACATCGTCAAAACCCAGAACAACATCTATCGGATTCCCGTCGCGACCTTTTACGAAAAGTGATACCAGTGTGGCGCCATAGGGTAAAAATCGAGCTGTCAGGCCTTGAGTTGAGGTGATCTCGATAAGCGGCTGCACGGGACTGGAATGCGTGAAATTAGATCGAGGTAAATCAAAAGAAAAATATGGTTCAAACTGTTATCAGTGGAACACACCTATCACTCATGGGAGTACAGCTCTTTGTGGAAAATGTTCTAAAATTTATGAATGCACGAGCTCTTCGAAGTTGCGTATAAAGACGAATGATCTCGAGATGATTAATGACAATCAAGGGTATCTAAGCAATTGGTATAGATCAAAATTTTGGAAATTACGCACATCATATTGTTTGTATCGCAACAATGAGAACATATTTACAGCACAATAATATCGACGAGGTGTGTGTGTAGACAACAATAAACTGATCCGTACTCTACCATGTAAGCGAATAAGATCTTCAGTTATCAAGATGCGCATGTGATGCAAATTCATCCAGCCATGAAAAAAATACTTTTGGTAAATAAATAGTGCGTGTAAAACATTAAAAAAAGCGCAACTCATCTTGTTGTAATAATCTGATCTGAACCACTAAGCTGTTAACTTCGGCGGAAAAAAATTCTTTCTGCTGTACCAGTACATGTATTAGGTTGTTCCAAAAGTTCGAAAGGTCGCACCATTTTCAAAATTTATAGCTTGCTTCTGATTTACCCAACCAAATTGATTCCTTTCTTTTTTCGTAGAGGAACAAATCATGTTCTTTGTAATGGTACCCTTGAGTGATTACTAATGTTCATATATTGCATAGATAGAAGCGGTAGAAGAAAATTACTTAAATTTTGAATTTTCCGTGCAGGGCCATAAAATCTGAAACCGTGGATAAAATCGGAACAGTTGATATTTAGGTTTTGTTACATGCTCTTTCTGACTGAGCAAAGTTTGTACTAACTGGATACCTCTATCGAAAGTTATGATTTTTGGGCAAGCAATACAAAACGGCAAATTTGATTGAATTTGGCATTTTTCTCAAAAATCATAATTTTTAATATTAACACGCAATCAACACCAACCTTGCCCAGTCAAGAAGAGCAGGTAAATGTTACATTATCGATTGCTACGATTTTTCTTGCACTTCAAATTTCTTATGACTCTACACGGAAAATCCAAAATTTGAGTAGTTTTTTACTGCTCCCTTCCATGCAGTGTATGACCACTAGTAGGCCAACGTCAGAAGTCAAGAATTTTTCTAAATGATGCGACAGTTATTACGAAAAAAACCTTCGCACTCTTTTTCTCGTCTGACAGAAATAATTGAGACGTCAGAGATTCCGCGCAGGTTATTGAAAAGAATCTATGAGTGAAGTTCTAAAGTTGAGAGTCATTACTCACATTTATTTGTGTTTTTTTAAGTTATGGCATTGTAAAAACACGGCAACACAAAGCTATTACAAATTACCAACCCGTACATGTATTCAAATGCAGTCGTCTTTCTTTCATGCTAATGTCGGTGAAGTTGAGCGTTTTTTCGCACATTTTGTTGCATTGAAAGGAATCGATTGTTGCAAGAAACATGGCCTATCTATTGACGTCGAATATGTTGTATGCAACAAGGACCGTCGTATGCAACAGGGATTCTCGTCGTATGCAAAAGGAAGTTTCGTCTATGCAACACGGAGCCCCGTCGTATGCAACAAGGACCACAAAGTACTGTTGTATGCGACTATGATACACTTACACCGTACACGTTCCCTCCAGGGCTCGTCACGAGGTGGCTAGATGAAAATGGAAAAAACGAAGTCCCCCTTGACTTTTGGGAATTTTTACGAAGTCCCCTTTGACCCTCAACCAAATTTCCTCTAGAAACCTGAAAAATTCCCCAAAATCCCCCAAAAAACGAAACGTCGACTAAAAAAAAGGTCGCCGTCGCCAATTTTCCGTCTCTCTTCGGTCACAAAAACGAAACCCCCTTTGCTTTCGTCCCAAAAACGATATCCAGCTTCTTGTAAGCCACCTCGTGCCGAGCCCTGGTTCCCTCTGTGCTTGCCACAGCTGTAGTTTGTTAATTTTAATTCACGAGCTCGGCAAAGAGATTGTAAAAGGTAATCAAACAAGGAGGAAATCAACTTCAGTAATTTTAAATCGTGTTGCAGATTGATTGACAATCACACTTTACTAGAAAGTAAAAAGGAGCTACAGCGCTAGCTAGGTCATTGGACACTTGAGCTATGAGTGTTCATTGTGCCCTTAGATCTGGAGGCGCACGTGGTGTTTACTGGAAATAACAAGTCACGTCAGTGATATCAAAGTACATTGTGTACAAAAATAGTTAGAGAAGAGTGACAGGAGCGGTGATTAATGAAAGAGAAACTAGGAATCTTTCAAAGAACGGCGGACTTGCTCATAAAGTATAATCTCGAATGTGTCAGACAGCAAAGGTGCGGGTGAATAAGCAGACCAAATCAAAAAGGAAGAGGAGAAAAACTGAGCCCAAGCTTGGAAAATTCATGTTAAGTTAGTAAGAAGCGAATAACTGCAGTAAAGTGATTTTTGTGCATGTTAGTAACCAAAAAAAACCTCAAAATCAACAGATAAAGTCAAGGCAAAAGCGAGTTTACACAAACGTAAATAGAAATTCCACTCCACTCGGACACATATCACTGTACAGTTGCCAGATAGAAAATCAATTTTTTGTCCTATCAGCCTACCAGCGATCAGAAAAACTTAGTAATAGCACTGTTGATAAAGCCAATGGCGTTGAAAAAATGGGTTTTTTGGTAGCATGTGAGTTTCACGGGTATACGCAGAAAAGTCAAAAAAATATATTTTTTGAGAAAGAGTCAGTGGGTGAAAAACGATCTTGCTAGTGGGTATTTATAGCAGCAGAATGTTCTTCGGTACAAGCACAATGTAAAGTCGAATAAAATAGATACGATTTGAGAAAAATAAAGCGTGGAAGTGTTTGAGCAAGTCAAATATTCACAAGTCGATTTGCGGGAAAATTTTGCGATTTCAAAGAAATTTTGTGCCTCAAGTATTCAAGAAGAATGCTGTAGAACTTACATATAGTCAAATTCTTCAACCTCAGTAAACTCATCTTCATCCGGTGACTCAGTCATCGTTAAAAACGCAATATTCAATCAGAAATTTTGCTCGAATATCCAGTAGGATAGGGCCGTAGAATGGAGAATAGTAAGGGCAGTTCAGTTCAGGCAATAGAATCCTAACGGTCGAAATTTATACAGCAAACCCATAAACATTGTTTTGCTCTAGCACGAGATAGCGCATGTTTACAATACTTGGCGCATGATTACAAGGGAATGCAAAGAATAAAAAAAGATAAAGAATTCTTTCCGGAGGAACTTTGCAAATCATAAATAGCTTTTTGTTTGATTCAATCACCTGATGCATGATTGCAAGGATTTTTTTTGAATGCAAAATTAATCGCACAAAAGGACACAAAGAATGCTTCCGGGGTAACGTTGCAATTTTTGAATGAGTTGCGTCTAGGATCAGGAAGAAGACCATTTTTGGAAAGGGGAGAGATTTGAAAGCGAACTTGAGCGGCAGAATTTCAGCCAGCGTTTTGCACTAATAATAAAATTCAAACCTATATGACTTGTTCGAATTCCGATTTGTCATAAAATCGAACACGTGAGAATTTAGCCACGTGCTGTTTGCACGCATAGAACGATTTCTTACTGCAGGTGCCAAAAATAGAATATATAAGAAAATATTTTAGTTTTGTACTTTTTACGCGGTTTTCGAAGTCACTGGTAGTACATTATAGCAAGTTGTAGGTTGCCATAAGTTCGATCAAAGATCAAGCAAAACAAAATAGTGCAAACAGTCGGACATCAAAACACTCGGTATTCTCTCGCCACTGTTACACACTGACCTCGTTCACTATCGGGATATGATTAGAGAAGGAACGGGAGTGCTGAGTCGTAAAATTCACTCACCTAATGGTAAAAGATAAGGAACTTTCTGAATCTGAAATTTCAGTCGTTACTTGCTTTTTCCTGCTGTTGGAATAAGGGAATGGTAAGAATTTGGGGACAAAAGGTAAGGTAGAGCATGAGCGGTAGATCATAAATCATTCTGCAAAAAACTTGGTGACAACTGAAAGAATAAAAACGTAAGTACTCTTTTTTGTAATTTCATGAAAATAAAAATCGCTATGTTTTTGCCGCAGAGTATCGCATGTTCTTTAACATTTTTCAAGATTATTTCTGAATAAGTTTCACCTGAAACGCCATGATTCAATTCGTTTCAAATCTCAAAAGCTCTTTTTTTTTGAATTTTTACGTAATTTTTGCAACATTCTCGGCCAAAAGTTGTCAGTCTGTAGTGCACTCGAGTCCCAAAGTCAACAACGCTTTATCAGTGACAGAAATATTATTACTATTTGCTGATAACAAGCGAAATCGAATTTCCCAACGTTTGTAGAATTGCCAAAAAACGATCCGGGGAAGTAAAAGGGAGCGGCGGAAGATGGCTGGGGAAGAAGTGAATGAAGAAAATTTGGCTTCTATAGTGTAACAAACAAACACGTTCATTGAATGCTGCAAATCCATCACTGCTACATTTTTCTTGATCTAAAGATTTCTTCCCTGAAAAAATGATGCGGAGCACTTCCGCAGGAAAAAAGTGGTAGAACATAGCGATGTTTTTTGACGAATGACGCAGACTTTTCGCATTGATGATGACATAGGAAAGCATAGAAATGATGTGAATGCCTGTAGAACAACGCACCACGTGCTTGAAATGACATGAACGCATAAGACTTGATAGATTACTTTGAGATGAGAGCAAAAGGAAAAAGTTAGGCAGTCAAGTTTTATGAGATCGATAGCGTCTTGACATTCACATGTCGCTATGTCAAAACAAAATGACCACAACACAGTGATCAATGTTGCTAAGGTGTTGGCACACAAAAATCGATGGATTTTGTCAATCTATAGCACTAAACACATTCGAAATATGCCGTTAGTAATTCAGTGAGCTACTGCGATGTCATAAAAGGCAGAGATTAGCAATGGAAGATTCAAGACAATTGATACAGCGGTATCGTCCATTGCGGCAAAGATATGGAGATCGTTCATTGAATTACACACAAGAGTGCATGTAAATACAATAAGGACAAAAGATTTTCATCAAATGCTGGATATTTATCAGGGATAACGAATCCAAGACCAGACCAGTAGATCCGCTTCAATAACTCCCGTTTTGCTTTTACGAATAAGTCCTAATAGCGTTCTGCTGGCGAAGAGAGTATTAATCTTCCAAATTGGTTTGGTACCAATTTACCATCACCCGATGGGATGGGTTGATTGCTCAGCAGCTAGATCGACCCGATCCAGAGGGTCTTAGTGGCGCTCCATACTCCTATGCCACTTGCCCCTACAACAATAACTATAGGACATGCGAAAAATCGTGACAATGGCGCGACGGCTCACGGTGCGCTCGTAACTCCCAGGACCATTTTCCTGATTTTCATCTCTGCTCGAATGGTTTTTCAGCTTCCATATGATATTATTTAGAGAGGGGAAGTGAATGGGCTAAGCGTTGAGGTGATGCCTTTTTGTATGAGTGTTTTAACCTCCTGTGGGCGCAAAGACCGTAGTCAAATCCGTCGTCACGTTTTTATAAATGAATTACACCTTGTAATTTCTTCCAATTTTGTTCAATGTTTTTGAACAACACGCCCAAAAGGTCAACATTCTTCATTTTTAAACAATCGGGTCGACTTTAGCATCTTGCAGACAGTGTCCGGGTAAGGTTGAGACTGATATATGGGATTTGCTCCATGTGAAAGTGGATGCCCTCGGGCATGCCCACGCACATAACGTTGGGTCAGAAGCGTTAAACCGCTCAAGGTCGGGAGACTTCCGCTTTAGAGGATAGCCTTGACCACCTGCGGATTTCGAAGTGCAAGCTAGATGCGCATGCCACTGCAGCGATTTTGCGTTTAACATAAGAGAGGGCGTGAACTGCCCCACTCGTCCAAAAGCTAATCGGCGGGCTTTGGAAAATCTTGTACTCACTTCGCGCTTCATATGATGTGTTAGATCGGCGTTGCCAATAAGCTCAAATGAGCGAAGAAGATAGGAACCAAAATTGTCCGGTCAGCGCCTTCAAGAACCAAGCTCAACTGTTATGCAAACGAAGCTTTGAAGACAGCGATGTCGAAGACAGAATCAAGCTCCAAAGCGATGAATATGTTATAAAAGCACCTGTGGGGCTAAATGACATCACAATAAATCTGCCAAAAATTTGAACCCAAGCTCTTTCCTGAAAAGATTAGTTCCAGCGGGGTGCTGTTTTTGAGTATTGTCGCTGCTTTCATCTTGTAGATCTGCCAGTATGATTATTAAGGTAATTATCAAGCAATTGTTGTGATGGGACCATCATCATTCGTGGTGAAAAGACTCCATCACGAAACGTGGGCGTTGGCTTTGTCGTCCACCCATCTATCGTCCATCTTGTCGATTCGCACGAGATCCTGTCACTTCGCCTAGCCATCTTACGAATACGACCTCCATGACAGAAAACCATCAGTATCATCAACTGCTACTCACCAACATTAGCAGTTGAAGACTCAGAACTAGATGCTTTCTACGAAGACGTGGAGGAGGTCGTCAGCAACGAAAAGTCCTTCTACAAGTATGTTGTGGGCGACTTCAACGCGAAGATCGGGATGCCACTAAAAGAGGAATATAGGATCGGGAAGTTTAAATATGGCTCCGGAACGACACGACAACCGTCTCGTTGGGCTTCTCTCCGCCGCACGACTTTTCCATGGCAATTCCATCTTCACGAAGAAAGAACATGGCCGGTGGACTTGGAAATGCCCAACGGAATGACTCATGCGGATCGACCACATTCTCACGAACCGATGGTGGAGCTTGCACGATGTCTTAGTAGTTCCACCTTCTGCAGTGGATCCTATCACCGCCTCCTTCAAGCGAAGGTACGATTTAGTTGAGAGCTGGAAAAGAAAGTCTGTCACAGTGCCGCAAGAATGATGGAAGTCGTATGACGGTAAGAGGCTGGAAGAGCTCATATCAAGTTGTGACTTGCCCATCGAGGAGGACCCAACGTACCACCACGATCGGCTTTTGAAAGGTCTGCGAGCCTGCGGAAAGTGCACCTTGCTTCTGAGAAGAACTTGGATCGCATCTCGAAGACCACCAAGGAATTGCTCGAAAGAAGAAGATTACTGAGGCAGGTCCCGAATGCAACTCATCTCGAGTGACTGATAGCCAATGCCAGTTACAGAACAGCTTTGCAGGAGGATTTCAGGAATTACAGGCAAGCCAAGATACTGGAAGCAGCTGAAGGAAGACGAGTTCTCAAGAATTGCCGAAAGGACCTCTGTGAATATCACGTACCGCTGGGCTGCACTACTGAACAAAGACGGGACTCCGACTTCTTCCCGATACAAGATGGAATCTATCGCGAAGAACTTTTACACCAACCTCTTCCGCTCATCGACACCCGTACCGATGCCCGTAGTTCCCACTAGAGAAGTCACCATGAATTCTATCTGCTGAAGTGCGCACGGCGATTCAAACCATGAGACGCCCACGACTCCAGGGCCAGACCATCTTTCCGTCGAATTTCTGCGAGCCGGAGGACAACGTCTACACGAGATTCTAGCATCGCATTTGACATCTTACCTTCAGAAGTAGAAGATTCCCGACCAGTGGACAACGTCAAAAACCGTCCTTCGCAGTCTCTTGAAGATGACCTGACAAACAACATCCTGCTGGACTCGCAGTACGGATACCAGCAGAATGTCCGGTCTTTGTGACCTAATGGAATACGTTGCGAAAGCGAAGCATTGATGGGCCGTGAGAAGAATCATGAGAAGTACAGACGACGGATGGACACTAAGAAATATGAGTGCTTAAGCCAAGCTTCCCGAGGAAGACCACTAACGAAATAGGCAGACGCGTTCGTGGAACGGATGGACGAGCTGAGAAATCAGTTTATACGATTTTGGCATTTGGAACTCGTGGACGCAGCTAAGGCGAGGGACAGACTTCATACTGCGAAGCTGAGCGGATGGTTATATTCTCAGCACGGTGAACGGACAAAAACTTAGTAGACTTCTTTCAAAGGATGAATTGAGTCATTGTTCCAGAGTCGATCGAGAACTTCCATACTGTAGTCACATCGAAAGATTTACGCATTACCCACAGAGCGCTCGAGCGCAGTCTTCTGAAGACGACCCGACACAAGCAATATCTAGTCGGACTTTGCAGTACGGATAGGAGAATAATGTCCCGTCTTCGTGACCCAGCGAAATGCGTTGTGAACGCGAAACACCGCTGGGCCGGTCACATTGTTAGAAGAACAGACGACGGATGGACACTAAGAACATCTGAGTGGATTTCCACGAAGCCAAACCTCCCCGAGGAAGACCAAAACGAGACGGGCAGACTTGTTTGTCGAATGGATGGACCAGCTGAGAAATTGGCTAGATACGACTATCGCACCCACCCAAGTCTGCTTTCTTTTAAAGTAAATTGTGCGGCTTGTGGAAAATATGTTGTACTATTTTTCCATCTTGACGATAGCAAAATCTTTGAAAAGGGGAACGCGGGGCGGAAAGCAGATGTGCCAGCCAGAAGGCGAAGAATCATCAAACAACACGTATTGAATCAACATTTTCCTGGGAATCCCAGAGATGAGGTTTTTAGGCAGCTACTGACTCAAATTTCAACTAGAACTTGGTGTAGCTCCCGAAAAAACTTGGATCTGATCGCTTTACATGGGCTTATTGTCCGCTGATTCTGAAAATCAACCTGGAGAGGCGTTCCACAAAGTTTTCGCATTTGGAACTCCTGGACGCAGCCATTGACGACAACAAGAAAATCGTGAATATCTGAAGCGAGGGACAGGGACAAATGAAAACTTTGTGTTGTAGCCCGCATGCCATGTGAAGACGGGCCGTCTAAGTATCTAAGTAAGTATAAGGCGCGGAGACTGGAAATGCTTAGACATAAATCTTGCTTTCACTTCTTTCCATTTTGATATCGAGTCCTACTACACAAAATCTTCCCTTTCCGCACAAAGTAGATTTCATGGTTAGTGCTAATGCTGTACAGCTACCGTCTGAGATCTATCATTTTATCTTGGCGAAACATTGTAGACGGCGGCGGAAAGAAAACTTACTGCTAGAGTTGATCAATGGTTCTAGCTTTACTGCGTATAGCGTATTTGCGCGCAGTTCTAGACTAGAAAAATTTTACAAGCTTGTCTAAAATGTAAAAGTTCCTTATCACTGTAAAAGTTTTTTTTAGCGAAAATTCAGTTTGAGAGTTTTTCGAAAACATTTCGTTTTGATATCGAAGAAAATAAAGACATTATCGGAAAGCACGTTTCCGTCTTTAGGCTTATTGATCACAAAGAACGCTGACTTTAGACAAAAACATTAGGGAACATGCATGACTCGTGACTCGCCTAACCACAGATGAATTCCTCTTTTTTTCTTTTTCACAAGCTTCCGCTATCTTTTGAAGCAGCTTTACACTCCATGGGAGTTCCGAAGACATTTTACCGTGCTTATACTAATCTCATTATATTTCAGTTAGACTACATGTCGTACTTACAACACACTTCAACCGCCTTTTAGTAGCCGTTCGCAAAAAGGATCGAAAGTCATGAACTAGAGAGCCAGATAAATTTCCAAAAGTTCCCCTAAATCCAAACGGCGTCAGAAGAGCATCACAGTAATTTGCGTTTTTGGGTTTTTGACACTTCTGACAAAGCTTCAAGGCTTTCTCTCAATAACCTTTTGTACAAGTGCCTCAGCAGCTCAAGGACTTTCATTACAATTGGCAGCTCAGATCATAGCATTTTATGCTTCTGTCACCCTTTGAAGTCTAGTTATGAGGTAGAACAGTGCACACAGCACGCGATTTGTCGGGTTAGTTCATTGGCTGACCAAGTGATATCAAAAGTAAGCAGCGACAAAAATCTTTCAGATACCTATAAAGCGGATCACAAATCAACAAACACTTTATCTTTGGATCTATGATATATAATGTGAAAGAACAAAAAGAGAAATTTAGAAAAGAGTTTCTTGTTCAAAGTAAGCACTAATAGTCGTTTAAATAAGGTCATACGAATGAAGTCAGTGACCCGCGCCAGGGATGCATCTTGCACCTAAAGATCGTCTTTCTAACAGAAAAAGATCGTTCTGGATTTAAGAATGAGCGGGGAAAAACAGATTAGAAACACTGCAATATATATTTTGCACCCAAATAATTCAAAGCCCCAACACCACGCAACTTGTCCTGAAAGCGCAGCGTACGCAACGTAATCGCTTACGCTGGACACTCTGCCGACGCTCACGAAAAGTTATGAACTGATACATGATTTCAAACAAAAAAAAACGTTACAATGACTATTCAGTGTGCTAGTGCAAGCCAGCGGGCGCAGCGTATGGCATTAATCTAGCACATTTTTCAAACTTCGCTCACTATAGATGATCAAGTTCAGAAGAAGTAACTTTTGCCTCAATTAGGAATAACGAACACTTCACCCGAAAAAAAAGTAAAAATCGAAGAGGTCTCATGTGGACTTTGTTTTTAGGGCCAAAATGTCTCTAGCACAGTCTCAGACCATTGCTTTTCGCTTTGTTATAACTCCTTAGCAGCAACGGACCGAGGGGGTGGGGCGAGGGGGGGGGACGGTCCCTCTCCCCCCCCCCCCGCGAATGGGTCGCGAAATTTTTGAAACTTACCCACATGGGTTATAAAAATGTGCAAATGACTGTTTATTTTTGCAAATAATTGAAAAAAACTTTAAAATTTTCTAGAAATGCAAATCAACCTTGTCAAAAAAATTTTTTCGGGAGCGTCGCTGCCCCAAGCCCCCTTTTCTAGATTTTAGGGGCTATGGACCCGCAAAAATTTCGAGACGCACCTCAAGAATTTTTCAACGCCATGCACCTTTATTTGAAAAAAATTTTTTGCTCTTCCCCCACAGACCAAAATTCTGAGATCGCCACTGGCCCTTAGATATTTTGGGCTTGTCGTTACGACGTTACATACGTCACACCAATATGCAAATAACTGTACATCTCACTTTACGTACACGCACTTTTTTCGACTGCCATTTTGGACCAGAGCGTTCTCTGCATCACCATAGTCACAACATACGGTCTTTAAGTTATATGGGTTGAATGGGCAGTCCTATACAGAGCACCACTCAGAAGTCTCATAACGTGTGCCAGAATCCCTTGAAGTTTCTTTTGAATTTGCAAAAACTAAAAAATCAAAAAAGTATGGTCCACCGGTAGCTGGTATTCTAGTGCACGTGCTAATCCTCTTCTTCCATGTTATCGTTTTCGTAAAACTGAATTCAAAATCTAATATTAAATCCGAAAAATTTTTCGTACGCAATTGCGAAGAACTGCGTTTTCATTGCTAGCGAATGGGTGAACAGCAACCAAATTGTAGTGAATCAATGAAGCTTATAGGCAGTGCTCATATGTTGAGACACTGCAAAGCGTAGATAATTTGAACCCTAAAACACTGTTGGATTTTTTTCAATAGCTTAAAGTGCACATTTCCAAATATAAATGTATGCATCGCCTGACGATGATTCACTATGTATGCGCATGATAAGAATACTTTCTGCTACAACACGATAGCAAACTTTGATAGCTGTATGGAGAAAATTGCAATGTATAAGCGGTAGTGCTATGACTCGTAACATAAGCAGAAGTAGGCTTCGATAATATGCTTATAATCGCCTTTGTAATGTGCCGCGTCCGTTATCTTAATGGGGTCCAACAATAGAAAATAATTGATTTCATTCTACATAATCTTGAAATTGGCAACTTATTTTTCGTAGCCTGTGAAACCCCTTCTAATTATTGCATCCATCTCTTTTGCAGATAATTTCTGCATAGCAACACGCAGCTTTTGCTACGAAAAGTGATTGTTGTGGGCCATGACTGATAAAAAGTACGACTACTTTTACAAAGGTAAAGACCTTTCTCAAACAATTCGCCGCTTCAGAAAATCACTCAAATTTCTGAGCATTTTTCATTCTCATCAATCAAGTTCCAGTGATTCTGATTGGCGACTCTGGAGTGGGCAAGTCGAATCTCCTTTCTCGATTTACATCAAATAGCTTCAGTATCGATTCGAAATCGACAATTGCAGTGGAATTTTTAACGAAGCAAGTCACAGTAGGTTTATTCCAAATCTCATGGACTTACAGTAGATTTTTGGCAAATAATATCGTAAATATTCCATGTTTTTACGCTTTCGTAAGGCAGTACTTTTTAGTTTTAGTTAAAAATTGAAGCATTGCATCGTAGCATAATCTCAGAAAGCGACTTTGTCATCTGATTGATATTCCAATCCATGTGCTGTTTCCCTTTCTTCTTCCCCCTAATCCCCTCTCCCTTCAAAACAAGAAAGAAATAGTTACGAAGGCTATCTGTAGACTAGACCTTGATTTGCAATGCTTTGTCAATTTCAGATTGATGATAAGCTCGCAGCGGTTCAAATTTGGGATACAGCTGGACAAGAAAGATTTAGAGCTATAATTAGCTCCTTTTATAGAGGAGCACATGGTGCATTACTCGTTTATGATATCAGTGAGTTTAATGCAAGTTGTAGCTAATTCTTTGTGAGGAATACGGTTCTAATTATTAGGTTGATGCAAAAGAAATGGCCGATTTTCCAAGCCTTTTTCAGGGCAACTTTTTTCCATCAAAACTTCCTTTTTACAATGATTGTAGTACACTATCGCGAAGCTGCTTTCATGCTCTATATAACGGTGCTTGAAACGGGCTCTCATCCTCATCTCTCATGAAGTTACTGAGCTTCAAATAATCGCATCCAAATTCAGAATTTCATTGCATTCACTTTTCCGGCCAGAATTCAAGCGCGTATCAAAGGGATTTCTTCGAAAATATTTAGCTATCGTATGTAATAGAAATTGTCTACATTATGCATACTTAACTGCATTCTTTGAAGTTATCCAGACTGAGATATCGGCGCCTAAACATGGGTAGCTGTTGCGGTCCTTTTATAACCCATAATTTTCTTCTGAGGAAGTCAGTCGCCGAAGCTTTGCCCAATTCTGTAAGCGTAGGGCTAGGACATTTTTTAGCAGTTTTTGAAAAAAACATCCAGCTGTTCAGTACGTAGAAAATCATAAAATTCTATATTCCGGACTTTGAGGCACACCGAAAAAATGTTGAAAAAAGTGAGAAATTTTGAATTTCAATTATTTCTTTCTCGCAAATTTTTTTGTCCGAACTCTTTTTATTGTATTTTGTACTACTGGCTTGTGGCTACAAGATAGGCCACTTATTATTCACACTAAGAAACTTTGAAGAAAGTTATGAATTGAAACAAGGTTCCCGCAGAAGAACCTTTTTTGTCTTTTAGTCCGTATTTCTCTTCCCATTTATGGGTTGAGTATAAATAAGTATGCGCTGTACTGCGAAAGGTTTGCTGCTTCTGAAGGTCTTTACCGCATTCAGAAATGTGGACCTTTTAGAAAATTATAGCACATCAAAGTGAATTCGCAAATCGGCCATTCCTTTTGCATCAACCTAATACTTTCCACGAAACTGTTGATAATTCAATATAGTGCAAGAAAACTTCGAGTAAACTTTTTGAATTATTTAAAAGAATTTTTGCAGTAACCCGCTTTAGCCTGTTTCAGCAAAACCATGGACGTTTGAATCATGTAAGCATTGGTTACAAGATTTACGGGAAAAATCAGAAAACGTATCGGTGATACTCGTTGGAAACAAGTCGGATTTGAAAGGCCTACGTAGGGTCCCAGAAGATGCCGCGAAGAAATTTGCCGAAGAAAATAATCTTACCTTTATCGGTTTGTCGTTTCTGCAGTAATTAATAAGTGCAAAACTTGATGTTCTAGAAACTTCAGCAATGGATTGCTCAAATGTAAAGGAAGCATTTATGCAGCTTCTGGAAGGAATCCATCGAGCCGAAAAGGAGAATAATTTTGGTAATAACAAAAGGACCGTTCATCTTCAAGCGGGCGACTCATTGCAGACTTTCAAAAAAAGTTGCTGTCGGTCTGGGTGAAAGACCAAGGACGTTGATGCAAAATAAAATTCACTTGATTTTACAAATAAAATTGCAATATAGATGTTGATGTATATCGTTGATTGAATGAAGTAAGATGTCATAATAAATGTCAATTCACGCTCTTGCGGGCCGGTTGAAATATCACTAGTAAATTTGGAAGCCCTCATTCTCCGTAACCTACCGGCGATACTGAATGAAACAGTCGATGCATGCAGTGTCACAAATGCAGCGATAGTATTACTCATTATGATAGCACGAAATGTTGAAACTCTAGGTATTGTTGTGCTAATTATCGTTCAACGAACTATACACATATTATCCTTGATGCGCCTTTTGTGCAAAAGATCACTTTTTCCTAGGAGTTTCTAATAGTGACTCGAGACCAAGTAAGTTGAAGTCAAATCGCGGTCGATCTCCAGAACTATGGAAAGTATGGAAAGTATCTGCAGAATTTTAGTTCTTCCGAAGGCTAGCTTCTTACCATTTTGTTACAGCGTCACAGTAATTTTACATCTGCCGACGTTAGTCAAATCACGCGGAACATACGGCGGAGCCGGGTAAGCCAGCTAGTCTATTATAAAGTTACTAAGCTTAAATAACCGCATCTTAGTTCAAAATATTATTTCATTCAGTTTCCTGGCCAGAATTCGAGCGCGTATGAATGGCGCTTCTTCGAAAATGTAGCTATTGTTTGTAATAGAAATTATCTACATTTACATACTTAACTGTAGTTTTTGAAGTTATCAGATTGAGATATCGCCGCCTCAATATAGGTATCCGTTGCGCTCATTTTATGACCTTAATTTCTTTTGAAGAGAACGCCAAAGCTTTGCTCAATTCTGCAAGCATAATACCAAGGCATCCTATTAGCAGTTTTTGCGAAAACATCCAGCTGTTTAGTACGCAAAAAATCAGAAAATTTATATTTGGGACTTTGAGGCATACTGAAAAATCTTGAAAAAAAAACTGACATTTTCAAATTCCAATTTCCCTTTCGCAAATTTTTTTCTCCAAACCCTTTTCATCGCTTTTTGTACTATTGGCTTGCGGCTATAAGATATGCCACTTATCATTCATACTAACAAACTTTGAAGGTATGAAATGCCAAAAGCAGGATTTGATTTTTTTTGTTTGTTAATCCATATTTTTTCGTCTGTTTGTGATGTAGGAACTAATAAATGTGCGCTGCATTGCAAAAAGTTTGCTTCTGTTGATTTTTAAAGCAAAAGTGTGGGTTTTTGAAGAAGTAATAGCACGTGAAAATGGGACTTCGCAAACGCATTCTAGACATGCTTTCAGCAAGATCGAAATCTGAACGATGATAAATCCATAGAACTTAACATCTTTTCGTGTTGTAAGAGTAGCTCAAAAACGGCCTGCATTGCCGAGTTCAAGGACACGTTTGTATAGAGAGATTCAAGTTGATTGACTCCATGGCATGATTTTTGTCAATGCGCATCTTACGTAAACGGACCAGGAACATCAGTGTTGGAGATGAGAAGAAGTGAACTGAATCAACTGTGTTTTATAGTGTTCAAAAACCACCCTACTCTCTTAGTGAGACTTCCCACGCAACCGAGACTGATTATCGGTCTTACTTTGAGGGTTGAGAGGTCATCAGATGTTCCGGCGGATTGGATCTTGTGCGATTTTGTAAGCAGCTAAAACACTAAACAAGTTGCTAAGTCGGTTTTGAGGCGCCTAACGAATCCAGTTTCAATTCTCAAACTTCAATGCTTAACTATAGTCCAGATTTTTAGAATTTGAGACATTTCGAGTACATCATCACTAATGAAATACTTAGACCTTCCTTTTATCCAAGCCTAAACAAGCCTTTTGTTATTATTTCAGCAATCAACGACCCATCTACATTATAATTAATGATGTCCACCTAAATCTTGCGCCTTGCGTTCCAACTGATCTTCAAGCTAAACGCCAAGTAATTTCGGACTTGGAACCCCATCAGAAACTTGTGCCGATATCATCTGGAAAATCCTAGCGAAATTTGTGCAGCGGATTAAACATTCGAGGCAAGCACTTTTGGAATATTTTGTGATAAGTCCGTTCTCATTCGCAACTCATTCCACTTCCATTTTTGACTAGAATCCAACGGCTACATTTACTGACTGCTTTGCATTGAAGTAAGTTTATTGCGGGCTGCGGTCGTCTCATATGTCATCTCAGCAATCTTCTTCAATCATCAATGAAAGGACCCCGTGATGAGGCCGACGCAGAAACAACATCATTCTTTTCCTTTATTATTTTAGGCTTCCCTTATTTCAAGTTCAGTTTTAAAAGAGCAAAGGGAAGAGAGTTTTAATAAAAAAAATTTGATAAAGGGAAAAAAAGGTGACTGCGCACAAACATTTCACTTTACTGCTATGGAAAATCCACTTGTGGTTCGCGCCTGTGGTGATTGTTGCTCTCGCTGTATCGTCATCACAATTGTGATTGTGGTTTGCTGTATATTGAGCATCGAGTTCTTCTCGGGAAGACTGGACAAAAAGCTATACATCTCTTTCCGGATACAAAAGGGGTGCATTATGCGGTGAAAACATATAGTTCACCTTACTGATTCTAGTATGAGCAAGGCCCTAGAAATGAAACGACAATCGACTGAAAGACTTGTCTGTGTAGAATTCACTGCTTTATTTCGGCCTGCTGGTAAGTAGTCGATGTTGATAGGATGAAACGTGCTGGAAACCCTAAGCGCATGCGATGGTGAGACGAAGGTTGAAATAACTTTGAAAGAAGCAAGAAAAGCTGGCGCATTGTGAAATGTATTACAGAAACAGAAATTGGATTTTTAAGTGTTGGGTTGGGAAGATTACTGAATGTAGGGATGAGGCTACTGGCAAAAAAAAACGTTTTCTTTGTATCATATAACGCATTTGGGGCGATGTTACTTACAGTCTGTGAAATATCAAGGAGTAGATTGTTTGTTGATAACGCACTACTTTGCAGATGCTATTGAATTGCAATATAACTCTGATAAGTAACTGAGGAAGTTGAGCGATTCAGTAAGCCACTTTCTCGCTTTCTTGCTTGTGTTACATTGAATTTACTATGAACACGATAGGTAAATCAATTGTGCTTTTACGATTTAGAACTTCAGACCAAGATTTGACAAATGCTCCGCTCGCTTTTTGAATGATCATAAAGTATATTGCTGCATTTATTTCGCATTTTTTGCCAGCTATAGTTTCCCAGCAGCTATTAGCGAGCCGATGCGGAAGAGTGATTCTTGACACCGAACTGAGTAACGGCATTGGATTTCATCCACTATTCATTGTACCGAGCGAAACGCATTCTCTAGGAATACATCTCTGCCGTCCTCGGAGTAGCAAAGGAGATTCGTCTGCTTGGGATGATTATGTCGCGCTCTGCATCTCCACCCATGCCTTTCAGATTACCGTCATAGCGAGATACCACATGAATCCTAACCAAATGACGCTGCTGCCATAAGGAATAACCTTATCCACCTTACTTCGGGTAGCATACGCAAGCTGACTTCATGCTTTTTGGAAGTTTTTCTAGTGCGAGATCAACACCTAAGAAGGCCTTTTTTCTGAAAGGTTTATACGGTTGAAAGCTATTTGTCAAGATAATTTGGCTCAATCGAATTGATCAATGCACTTCATCAATTGCAACACCTCAAAAACACAAGTTTCGAAACCGGCCTAAATTATCAGGAGTGCTGCTATTAGAGTGTTGACAAGCTCTCTTCTCCGACTTTTTGACTCTTTTGTTCGGTGTGCCAGTATCGTTCACTGCAGTATTCAAGGAAAAGTAAGCAACAACGCATACAGATCTATTTTCTGATTTGCATGAATCAAAGCATCTATAGGCACAAGCGTATGTGAGCAAGTTTAGCAATAAGTATAAGCATATAAACATGCCGCGTGCTGTAGTCTGAATACGTAAAAGTGTCTTTCCGCCAATCGGCCTGATTAACAATGATCTAAGCATGGATGTGTCCATGGCCAAATTCTGCTTTCGTCTAAATAAGAAAATTGACCCCAATTGCCCCTTCATACGGCAACTATCTCGGCAACATTCTCAGCCTATCAACAGGGCCTATCAAACGCAGTGTCGCTTGCATCAGCATCCCCACTCCCGCGCTAGACTCTGCATCTCTTCCGCGAACATGCTCTCCGATCACTTCCAATCGATAAAGGCTCGCCTTTCCCACGTTCGAAACAAGGATTGTACAACAACAGTGCAGTTATTCCATCGCCCCCCTTAACAATCCCATTTGGGAAGGGAATCCGACAAGGCGACACAGTCTCTCCGAAGCGGTTCACCGCGGCCATGCAGTGGGTGATGAAGTCATTGTACTAAGGGGAGAGGGGCATACGAGTGATAGAAAGTGTGTGTAGAACCTTCGTTTTGCGGACGACATTGTCTTCCGGCGCTCTGTTACGCAACTGAGACGTGGGCCGACACTGTAGACACGTCCGAAGCTTTGCGGACAACTCACGGAGCGATTAAGACAGCCTTCTAAAGATGACACGACAAACAACATCATGTTGGACTTCGCAGTACGGATGCGAGCAGAATGTCCCGTTTTGTGTGACTTAGTGGAATACGTTGCGAGAGAGAAGCATTGATGGGCTGATTACATCACGAGAAGAACAGACGACAGATGGACATTAAGAACATTTGAGTGGATTTTTCGTGAAACCAAACCTGCCGAGGAAGACCACTGACAAATAGGCCGACGCGTTTGTGGAACGTATAAACTAGCTAAGAAACCAACCAACTAAATATGATTTTTACACCTGGAACTCGTGGACGCAGTCAAAGCGAGGGACAGCAACAATGGCAACTTCCGAGTTGGGACCTGCACGTGAGGACGGGCCATATAAGTATCAAAGTAAGTATGTATTTTGGTCAGAAGTAGTCAGTACTGTAATTTGCATATATGCTGCATGAGAGTTTTCGACCGACTCAGGAACAACGACGTATGAGTTTTATCGTTTAAAAAAAGTCTAACGTTTTTGATAGTTCACCA